AACCACTCATCAAACAATTTCCTATTTGCTAACACTGATACTTTCCCCCAATGAACCTTTTGTAACATGTTTTTAATTATTTAATTTGCTTGTGAAACTATAAGACCAAACATAATTGAAGTATGAAGTGGTCTGCTCATAAACCATAATTACCCACTATCTCTTAGACTTTGGACTTTCATTCAAGGTGCTGCAAGGTCCTTGCAGAGATTAAACTCAAAACATGGAGAGCTTTCCAACATGACCTAGGAACTACTTGAGATAGCAACTAGCTATGTACACAGAATTCTGCTTTTAAGTTCTTTGTTCCTATTTAGTTTCATTTCATAATACTAGTCTCATTTAGTTATGGCTGGTTTGGCTTCCTATAGATTCACACTTTTCATGGTTTCAGCTCAGTTTAGTCCTGATATAGACTTGATTTGGTCCTGTTCTAGTCCTGGTTTGAAACCCTTAGTCTTAGTCTGCAGAGGCTCAGGTTTTGACTGCGTTGTCAATGGTACTTGAAATATACATTGAAATACTTGTAATAAAAGATTGGCACATGGAACTCTTTTGTACTAACTAAAATGTTTGCTATGGCAACTTTCACCGCATAGGAATGAAATATATGAGTTTGACAGCAATATAGAAGAACCACATGACCCTTTGGAGCAGAGCATGCTGGGATTGAAGATGTTGCACAATTTTATTAGCACAGATCACACCCCGGGTGTCATAAAGATAAACCAACTTAAGCAACGAAACTGGATCAGCCATTTTGAACATCCACTAATGATTCTCAACTTAAACACAAGTTTAATGTTGTGTGTAATGTTTTAAAGACTGCTGTACACGTGAGCTAATAATTATCCAATTATTCACTGCCTGATTTTTTTTCACAGCTATTCATCCAATGCCCAAGATGCAAAAATATGATGACTGTAGCACAAGTAAAACTGCACTACAAGCAGCTTCAACAAGAGTGAAAAGTATTTCTTTTGCTAGAAGTGAAAAGTATTTCTTTTGCTAATATTTTTACTACTATTGCTACTGCTACTGCTACTGCTAAAAGGATTGTTTTCTCTCATAGGGCAGTGTACTAATGGTAAAGATTTTTAGCCTTTATTTAACCTGAAAAAAAAAAAAATCTTCAAGGGCATGCTGGCCAAGAGAAAGTTTAACACATAGCTACAACATGCAAACAAAAAACAATAAAATAACATGGATCAGAGTTCAGAAAAACAGATGCATATTAGTGAGGCTGTCGCTGATGTTTTCATCTTAGATTTAAGGACAAGGACTACAAGAGTAAATGAGCTGTTTTTTGTATCCAATGATCCTGCACTATGTAACTTTTCTGGTAAGAGTCCAGCACCTGGTTATGTCTGTGGAGATATGCTAGGGAGATTGCTTTCTCTGGTATGTCCCGCAGTATGACATTAAACGTGCTTATTATTTATTGATAGGTATTTTTTCCATAAAACAATAGCTTGAAAAATAAGCATTCTACTGTAAGCATGCACACCTCTCCACAAATTTAACCTATAAATTGGCTTGGTGCTTGTCTCCATGGAAATAGAAAAGCTAAATATCATATTGTGAAAGATTCCAGGCAAAGCAACAACATCTCCATGGTGACGGACCCTCCACCCGGAAAGTTACACAGTGCACCTCTAAGGGATGTCAAATTAGTTAATTATTATTATTTAGGCCATAATATAATAGTAAGAACCCAAAAAACAATCAAACAAACAAAAAAACGGTTTGTCACTACTGTTACTTTATCATTCAGAAAGCTGTTCATAAAGTTTACGCTGTTGTTTCGCCAATACTGTCAATAATTGCAAATAATCTTAAATGAAAAATATTTAAATCATAACACTAAAATTTGATATTATGAAACCATATTTGCATATTACTAAAGATAATTATTTTTCATTTATTCAGCGCAAGATCACAACTTTTTTACTTTACTTAACAGTGTACTCTTTAGAAATAGTCCATTAGTGAAAGTGCCCTTATTGAAAAGTGAGTAAAACAATAACGTCATTGTTCAGAGCTGACTAATATCCAGTTGTTTACCCTTGTATCGTAAAACTGCAAAATTCCCACAAAGACACTGATAGCATGTATTCTTTAGTTTATCTTAGTTAAATATGATGTTGGCTACTTTTACACAGACGTCATAGACTAGAGACCTCTTAAGAAAGCTTTTACTAACTAGATACAGGAATAGTGCACCTGTCTGCATTTCTTATCAACCATTACTCGTAGAGGGCACTCAGCAATGCACATAGTCGTGTTCACACCATATTAAACCATTTTATAGTCAGTGTTTTAGGTGTATATGCTCTTTTCACTGGCTCAAAAACTGCTGTCTCAAACTTTAAAAAATACATAATACATATCTTTTTCTTTGGATATTTACTATTAAACCATAATTTACGTAGATAATAATTTACATTTTGTTCAGTGTAAACCACAATATTGATCTAAAACAGCAAATGGAATCATGTCTGTTGACTTAAGAAACCCCATCTCTCTTTGCAGCAAAATTTCATTTACATGGTCAAATGTGATCGTGCAATAAGATTAGCTTTTTTTCAGTGACACATGTGAAACAAAGGAGCTCATTGGTCACATGTCATTTACAAATAAAATCTAATTTATCTCATGTCAAATTAACAGAGTTTAGTGCTTTGCTCACTGATTCTGCAGAAATCAGAGAAGGTTTTCAGACCCCTTTAATATCTTTTCCTTTATTTTTTCCAATATGATGGACCACACACGTCCCTGGTTGGCTAATGCACCTGTCAATCACTCCCATTTGAAAGTAGGAAGATTCACCAGTGACCAGACTCATATCTTCATAAAGTACTGAAGAAATGTCTGTTCTGAATCTCAGGCAACATTTAACTTGTATGACTTAGTGTTTGAAATTTGTGAATAAACAGAAGAGAGCACAAAGCAGTGGGCGGAGATATGGGGTGGGTGAATACAGAAATTTTCTGAGCGCTCAAGCCTCAAATGCAGGACAATGCAAGATTACTCAAACATGCATGAATCGATCAGAATACAACTTTGATAGGTTTATGATGAGGGAACACTATCATAATATAGTAAAAAGCTCATAAAAGTTGATTTTAGATAATATGTCTCTTTGTGGAAGTCAATCTCCAAATGGTACAGAATCCTTTAAAACACAATGTTCACTAATATTTAGAATCTTTACGAGTCGTTTAGTAAAGAAAAAGTCACATTTTAGTGGCTTTTTACTACCAAGGAATGTGCACAGCATAGGTCAAACTCTACTTTGGGTTAATGAATAAAACTGTGGTTGTGAGAAAGTAAAAAAAAAAAAAAAAAGTTTTTAACAATTCAAGAATAGTGTTAAAATCAATATTCATCTAGTTAATAGTCAATGGAAAAGAATGGCTCCAGGTTCATATTATTGACATATAATTTGTAAGAGGATCATGTTTGTGTTTCATGTATTTATTCAGCTAGTTAACTGCCACTATAGCATATAAATCATAGCATATAATTCCCAATGTTTTGTGAATGAAACAGAAAAAAAATCTCTCTATAGAAACCCAAAAACATTCTAATACTGAGATACTCTATCGAAAGTAATTTTTCCAAATTATATTTTAACAAGCAGGCTCAAAACATTCATAATGTCAATGATAAGTTTTGACACTGTTTACCAAATCAACACATTAGAGCCCCATCTTTTAATAATGAGATCTTAGTGTGTTTTATGTCACAAAAAAATCAGACAAGGTAAGGAATGTTTTTGCTTATTCCTCCATCTTATATCTTCGATATTATTAAAATAGATCAACTTTTCTAAACCTCTTATTTGCTCTTACCGTTTTAGGCATCTTGATTTTGGTTGGAGGAGCTCAGCAGGTGTAGAAAAAGAGTTTCCCGGACGGAGACAGAGGCTGCTGTGGTCGACTCCCAGCACAAACTCCACCTGATAAAGAAACTCCGCCACAATCTGTCAGACCAAGGGCAGGGCTACTCCGTCCTTTGAACCCAACGCACTAGATCACCCGCTGTGACGTTAACCTGGCTACTATAACTCAAAAGAGTTATACCTATGTCTGCTTATGCTAGTGCTAATGGTGGAGAGAAGATCCACGGAGCAGAGGAGCAAGTTACACCCAAACAGAGTGGACTTTGGACGGAGTGAGGAGGCTATAAAGAGCAGTGGGCGTCCAGGAGAGGCAAGGCTAGTTTCAAACACTGTATTAGAGAGACCAGACATAAAAATCAGAAGTGGTACTGAAATAAAATCCAATAATTAAAGGTAAAATATGACACTATTTTCTGGTCTATGTTATAATGTTGTTTCCTCATCACAAACATACCCGAAGTTATGTTTAGTTTTATTCACACATGTTTAACACACACCCAAGCCCTGTATATTTAGGGTGAATTTTTCTCGTAAAGAGAAAACACTCTGTTCCACATTGTGATGCCATATGGTAATACAGGAAGTGCTCCACTGTGTTTTTAAACTCCATACACCGTTAGTTGAATCATTTGGAAAATTTCAGATCTGGAATTAACCATTTTTACTGAACTAAAGGTAAAAGACAACATTATAACATCGCTAAAAGCTCACAAGTCAGTTTTGCATAATATAAGACCCTTAAATAGGAAAAGTACTTACATATAAAATAATTGCTCCTTCCAGTGAAAAATGTGGTAGAAAATACTGCTGTCAGATAACTCACCCCCTAATGAGTTTATTACACCTGAAACTACATGACTTCAGTTTTCCGATGAATAGGGTGGGTGGGGTACTTAAAATGATAATGATTTAAGATTATCTAGAAATACAGACTAAATATAAACTTATGCTTGACAACAGTTTATAGGTTTGGCAAAGAGCAAATCTGTAACTGCAATGTGACCAATGGCAATATGTACTTTAATATACAATAATATATCCTTTTTTGTCTTTATTGGCTAATGAAACAATTAAATATGAATATAACTACAAAAAGCAGGGTGTGACTGTTATATTTATTTTGCTGTATTTAACAAAAAATCATCATAATCCAATATCTTTTGCTTAAATGTATTATGTTTTCTGGAGTGTCACCATTGAATGTATAGTACCATTGAATGTAAATGATTATACTACACACTAGCATGTATCTAACCACCAGGGGTCTCTCTAACAAAGATATTCACAAATGGAAGAAGTTCAGAAGGTAGTTATCCAAAATATTATTAAACAATTTCATATAGTATCTTAGTATATTAAAAAAAAAAAAGAACAAGGCTAGGGTACATTTTAACTTATCGTCTTATTAAATGTACACTGTAACATTTCTAGTGGAGGGTCTTGACATGTTTATCTCTAAGGAAATGTTTGCTTTGTCTAGAATGTTTCAGAGTATAGATTAAACAGCACTACACTACATTACAATTCAGATCTGTGGAGAGTCGTCCCTATTCACAGAAGGATTGTATTCTATTTTTGAGCAACAGAATAATGACATCGCCATGGAGACAAGTAAGTAGCAGACCCTTCATCAGAAAAGTTGCACAGTTCACCTTTTAAGTTATGCTTATAATTGATCACTTTGTTTTCCTTATCATATAATCATCATTCAGTCTGCTTATCTTACCCAAGCATTTTACATTTGAACCAAATATGTTCTTCCCTCATAAAGCTATTGCACTATTGTTTTGTTTGTGTTTCTTTTCAAGTAAATTCCTTTGAAGTGTCAGACCTGCTTTACATAATATTATTACCTAATATCCTATTAGATCAAAACTCATCTTTGATCTGAAAGTGTGGCTGGTCCTCGGGTCTGAAGTCTTTGTTGGGGGTCCCATCTGGGTTCAGGATCCGGGATGCGGTGTAACCCACTATGGGATACTTGCTCTTATATGTACCTTCAAAAATACTGTCCAGGGACTCCAACTGCTCCTCTGTTAGACCGGTCTGCAAATACACCAAAATGTCATCAACAGTCATTTATTTAACCAAAAAAATGTAAATGATGGGTCAAATACAGATAAGAAATATCCTGTAGATGCATTAAAGTTTATAAACTATGTTATTTAGAGAGGCCAATATAGAAATTCCTTAGAATCATCATCATGATTTTGATTTTTATCACAATCCATGCACACTGTCAGGCTATCTTTATGTTAAAATGTGACCGCTTCTTCGGAGAGTTCAGACTTCACTCTGATTGGCTAAATCCACCTGTCAATCACTCACTATGACAGAAGCTGACCTATAAGAAGGGTAGTGGAGCAGAGTGTTTGTTAAGCATTAAACAGAAAAGCACTGGATCACCTAAATTGATAATTTGCAGCTGATGCCGTCAACATTCCTTGAGGGTGTGATGCTACCAGTTTTATAGTTAGTCACACTCACCATTTTTGTTGAAAATCAAACACCTAAACAGGGCCATGAATGTGTGTGATCGAGCTTCTGAAAATGTGTTGTTTAAATCCAATTTGTGTTTTTTTTCTTGAGTTTTCAGACCATCTTAAAACTCTTCTGTTTGCTTATGTATGTATTGTGTTACCATGGTAGCATTCTACCATTAACGATACATGCAAAACACCTCCAGCATGATGTCACTGCAAAGTGTCTATAGCATTTTGTCACAGGGATAAGAGCAATGAGGGGTAAAACTCTGTGAATGATTAGGAAAAGGGACAAAATCTTGTGCCACAGGATCTTCCAAGACAAAAATGCTACAAGATTATGCATGAAGAAAATACTGAATAAACCTAGACATTAGACTTAGACAGACTTTATTGTTCCACAAGGGAAATTACTTAGACACAGCAGCAAAGTAAATAAAAATGGTGAGGTCAAAATTGCAAGCTGAACCGCACAATTCATCTATTAGCCTGTAACTTCTTGTGTCTTGTCCCACCTCTACCAATGATCAAAATGAAGCTGTGAGTACTATGATGCTCATTAATCTAATCAGTGGCTATAATCAGAGAGTTAATATGATAGCCTTATCACTGTGGCCTATAATCTTACATAATGATAAAATGAAACAAATGCGATCTAATCATGAGTAACTTACAAAAATTATTAAATTATTGGTAGTTAAAAACTGGAAGTGTGTGTATGTGATAAGATACTAGACAGATCACAATTGTGGGTCTACTGATCTAATCTAAAATGCAGTCTTAAAACATATTGAATATCCATAAAAAAGGTCTAACATTGCATAGTTTCACAATTGTCATGTGTAAGTGAATGCAACAAGGCTCACACCCAAAAAGATTCAACAGAGGTGTCATGTGACCAATCCCTATAGACACTACTAAGATAAACCTTTACAAAGTATTATATTGCAAAACAAAGAGATTAATTTGTTTTCTCAGCAGATGATGATCAGAAGCCACTCAGATGACTTCATGGATGCTAAAATCTCATTAATCACACTATTGTAGTAGTTATTTCACTCACAGTATCAGGTGTGAGGTCTTCTGGGTTCAGAGACATTTTGGCCACAGCTCGAGATGAATCTTTTCCAACCAGAGCATTGTACGGAGCGCCTTTGCCATAAAACTCTGAAATTCAATGGTTACACAGTTTAAAATGGATTTTAATGATAGGCCCACATTTGAAGTGAAAAGGCCTACATTAATGGTGGAAGGATTTGGCTGAAATATTTCATACAATATCTTTCACTAGCCTAAATCTTTTGTTTTCTGGAGTGAAATCACTAAATTGGATGTGAAGTAGAGCCCGACCGATATATCGGCTGGCCGATATTATCGGCCAATATGGGCACCTGGAGACATATCGGCTATCACCTGATATGCTCGCTGATATGGGCAGATATTTCACGTGGGCATGTTATACCTCCTTATAAAGCTTAGACTGTCTACATTATGTTCATTTAATCCAATTTACAGACAGATAAATGTCCTAATATGTGGCTCCGCACCAGTATTTATCTGCGGTGTAATTTGTCTGTGTGTGTGTCCATACTGTCCCTGAACACACCCCCATAGTCTCCTCACTTCACTCACATGCTATTGTTTACACCCGCAGCAGTGCGCAACACTGAGATTACATTCTTTTTACGGACAATCGGTTTGAGTCTGGATTAAAAGGACATTTATTAGTGCAGACTTGTGATGTGAGGAGGAGCCTGTGTGAGCGGTGAGTGTTGGAAATACATCGACTTTGAAGCTAGTTTAGGTTTTGTTAGCGATTAGCTGCTGTAGCTCCCGCACATAAACAGACTGTTTTCTATTGGTCTATTGTAAAGTGACTGTATTGGCCGTATATTTGTTACTGGACCTGTATTGATATGTAAATGAGCTGTGAATAGACGTGTGAATGATCCACATTTATGCATATAATTAATTACCGCGGTGCGCACGTTTTTACGGCTAAAGGCTAATAGCGATAGTTTCTTTACTAGCTAGGAGTTGGGAGTTACGGGTCGGTCGCGATCGAAGCGGCTCTTAGATCCGGCTCTTTGAAGCGAACAACGGGAGCATGTTTCTTATTGGGAGCCGTGTTTTCGCTTTTTCTCACTTTTTCTCTTCAAGCCGCAGGTAGACCCGTAGTTTGACAGCAGCAGGGGCTGAAAACGACACTTTCAGAAATATGCGTGTGCATAGGATTAAAAAAAAAGTGCATATTTGGCTGCAGTTCAGCATAAAATAAATAAACCAGGACTAATCTTGGGCTCGAGTGAGGGAGAGAGATAGAAACCGAGTCCCGACACTCAGTCCTGGTTAAGTTCTGGTTTAGTCCTGTTTCACACATGGTTTAAATCTGTTTTAGTCCTGGTTTAGTCCTTTTTCAGTCCTGGTTCAGTTCTGGTTTAGTCCTGCTTGCAACAAAACAATCTCAAGAGTCACTTGGGAGCCGAAAGAGCCAGCTGCTTTAGTGAGCCGAGCCAAAAGAGCCGGTTTTTCCAAAAAAAAAAAAAAAAAACTGGAATAAACATCACTAGTAGCTAGAATGTGATGCAAAAATGCCATTAGGCCAATCTACTGTATGTAAATATGACATAAATATGATATAAAGAGTCAGAATAACAATAAATGTTGCCTAAATAAACCCAATTTAGAATCCACTAGAACCAAACCTAAGTTTTTTAAACAATTCAAGATTTACAGTGAATTTTTACATCACTAAATATATCGGTGAATATATCGGCTATCGGCAGCTCCAACTCCCATTATATCCGTTTCATATCGGCCACAACAAAATCCATATCGGTCGGGCTCTAATGTGAAGTTGACATTTACAGGGCCTCCAGTGCCATTAAACGTGGCAGCTTGCACTACATACGCCCTCAATTATTCAATTACAACATTTAAAGTAAATTTAAACTTCATTTATAATAGGTCTACATTTGAAGTGGAAAATATTTAAAATGAAAACTAATGTGAATCGTAAAAATAATTACAGCCTATTGGTCTTGGACTAACTCAAAAGTTAAAAGGAAAACCTGGTAACACCATTATTAATTAAGACCTGCTAAATATCTTATTTTCAATAGACTTACTATACTATATTTATAACAGTACCTTTTCCTTTAGTGACATCAAACACCACTCCTTTTACTGCCATGTAAATAGGCAGGTCCTCCTAAAAACAAAACAATACAGACATTTCAGTCATTTCAATGTAAATGTCATAGTAAAGTAGTAATAGAGGCATAAGGAGTAACTACATGTGAAGTTTACCTCGGTCCCGTCGTATTTCTCCAACTCCTCCTCTGTGAAAAGTCGCACAGGTTTTGAAGGGGGTTTAAACTTTATTTTTTGATCTTCTTCAGTCGAAGTCACACACAAGAATAAAGCACAAAGCACGTAAACCCATGCCGTTTCCATGACAGATCCTGGTTCAACGCGGAAACTCTTTCATCCTACTTTACTTCCCTGGTTTCTACAACGGACGGGGTGACACCTTCAAGATAATAGGAATTTTGTGCTTTTGTAACGTTTTGGCAAAATGTAGTTACAATAACAACATAATTTCAGATCGAGACTATAAAAACAAGAGATTTTAATCCTTTCATGTAAGGTTATCTTCCTTTTTGTTACATATAGGCTACTGTTTGGATACAATTATCCATACAATTAACGCACTGTTGCATTCGGAAAACACAAAAGGAGCACACTTACAATTCTTGGTATTTTTCCCCTTTTTTAGTACTTGCTTTTAAAGCAAGCCTAAATAAATTAGCCTTATCACTCTGACCTATGCTATTACAATATTATGATTGATATAGCAATCTAATCATAACTTCTATTCATTTATTGGTAGTTAAAAGCTGGAGGTGTGTATGTGATAGGCTACTAGGTAGAGCAAGATTTTCTAGGTCTACTTTTAATCAAAATTGCAGTGTTAAAACACAGTCAATATCCATAAAACAAAACTACACAATTCCAAAAAATACAGTATCCCAGTAGGCCTGGGCCAATAGCCTATTTCCAACCCAATAACATTCTATAAAGCCACAATAAACAGATGTAAGTGAATGCAACAAGGTGTAATGGGGTGGGACTAAAGAAACAAGTGAAGCTGCGATTGGCCACAGTTTAAGGATCCCTATTATCTTTGGGACGTCTTTTATCTGTAACTATCCCCGGGAGAAGTCCACGCAGCTCCTCTCCAAAACGGAAACTGCTGATAAAGAGATTAATCTCGTCAAAATGCAGTGTCTAATGACTGAATCTTCTCTTCAAACTTCCGAACTATCCAAATAGCGCTAAGTTTGTATTGAAGCAACTTAACGGGGTTATAGAAGGACGCGCAGAGGAATGCTCAGGAAAGACAACGGTCGGGGATACCAAGAGGTGAGATCACAATATTATCTCAAACAGTCCTGTAATCAAGCGTTTGATATTAGTTTATGAATGATGGGAGCCGGGAGTGAACTTTATTTAAACCCTCATAAAGTAGCCATTCCCCAGTGTCGCCCCATAACGTCATGTGACCGCGCACAGATGACCACTGCAGCCTCTCGCCACTTTCGCTGACTTCTCGTTTTTTTCAGTGCTGTTATCCAATGTCCATTCCTCACTGTTATCCAGTAATCTCTTTGATGAATCATGTGTACTCAAGTTGTTTTTTGTTCAACTTAGATTACTATTTTGGTTATCGTTTGAGAAAGTAATTGTAGGCCTTTTAAAACTCCCAAAACCTGATGGATGATGTTATAGGTGTAGTTAAAAAAAAAAAAAATTGGTCTACAGCAATTTTTATACTTAATTTTGAACTGAAGTAGCCTATTATCTCAGGCCTACACAAAATGGCAAAAATGGTCACTTCAAATGAATACCTTGTTTAAAGGTGCACTAGGTTATGCATTTTTCTGGTGGAGGGTCCGTCACCTTCTTGTTTCCATGGAGATGTTATTGCTGTGCCTAGAATGTTCCACAGTATGGCATTAAACATATCTATCACCATGGAAGCAAGCAGGTGTCGCCACTAAGCCAAGTTAAAAGTCAGATCTGTGAAGTGGCAACCCCACTGAGGAGCACTCAAGGCAAAATGTTAGCATATCATGGTGGTGGACCCCCTCTAGAAAGTTTCAAGTCACATTTATGTGTCATTTCAATGTAGAGCAATTCTCAAATCATCTTTCCAATTTGACCAATGATGTAGGCTACTGTTTGAGTTTAAATGAAAAAGGTAGGCCACTTGTCCTTTATATTAAGTAAACTATGTGGTGAGAAATTAATTAATGCATCCTTTTACATAAACTAACAAAAGTTCAATCAAGTTCATATTATAGTGTGGTACTAGATTTTGAAAAAAAAAATTATGATCTAATCTTAAATAAACAAATCAAGGCTTAACCAGGAACCGGCAGAACAAGAACCACCCGCGATGAGGAACTGTTAAAATCCAAAAGGAAAATGCTTATGGGAATACTGTATAAAGTTCAGTTTACTCTTAAGTTGTTGGAAGGGCTGTGGAGCTATGTTGGAAGGGTTTGGGTTAGCTCCAAATGTTGTAGTACAGAATATTGATGGATATTAATGGTACATTGGTTTGCCACTTTAAATTTTTTGACATATTTAACATGCAGCTTACTTGTCAAAAGTCAGTATACTTTTGGATAAGAAGCGATTTCTTATTGCTTCAAAAAATTCAAAATTATAAACATGAATTCTTCTTGTGAATGTAGTTACCTCTCTTCTCGCTCATCTATAACTTGTACTAATTTGATTGTGCCACCTGCCTGTCTAGACAAGTTTAATGCCATATTGTGAAGCATTCTAGAAAAAGCACCAGAAAACAATGCACCTTTTTAAAGCACTGTTTCAAAAGCATTAGTAAATGATTAAAGAACAATAAAGCTGGTTAAAACTAAACAGTGAGAATAGCTAGGCCTGTCATGATAATTACTATATCGAGTTATAGTTCAATACATGACAGATGTGACACTATATTTTGGGTGTCAGTATTTATCGTGGGATCTTTTTCTTTATACCAGTCGAGAACTTGCTTGTCTGTTTAATGATGAGATTTGAGCTATAGATACAAACTTACTATACTGCAAAACACAATATTTAATGTAAGTTAAAATGACTTAAATTAGGAACATTTTACTTTATTTGAGTAGATTCAACTTGACAAGTAAAATTGTCTATCAATGGAATAACTGCGTTTTTCTTAATTCAAGCAACATTAGAATTTGTTCTTATTTTAAGTGCAAATGTTGTTTTTCTTTTTCTTATCTTAAATGTAGCAAATGTATTTTCATATTTTGAGTACAGTGCAAAAAGTCTTGTTCCATTAGTAGATAATTTTACTTGTCAAGTGAAATTTATCTAAATCATGATAAAACTTTCTTAATTCAAGTAATCTTATTTTTGCAGTATACTAAGTGTATCATTTGGTTGATAATCCTACTTTAGGGTTATTTTGTCAGTGGCATAAATTAGTTTCAGTATTATTATTTACAATCTATATTTTCTTTAGTAATGTCTCATCCCTCAAAATTGTTATTGTGACAGGCCTAAGGATAGCATTGTTTTTTACTCTTACAAAATGCACAGTTGGTTCACAAAAAATGTATTCTTTTGCAGTTTAATGAGGATGATGAAAGCTTACAGCCTGCAGACTTGTATGAAGACACAGAGAAAGACATCAGCAACCTGGAGGCCAAACAAGCCAATGGCAGTGTCCCACAAGGTTGGTCCAAGGAACATCACAATAAAGACAAATATGCAGTGATTTGCTGTTACATGAAATGTCTTAAATTTTTGATGCATATTAAATCTGCATTTTTTGTCATAAATTGTTGACATAGTGATGGACCAACTACACTGTGATTATACTATTCTGTTTTTGTTTATAGGAGAGGAGGAGGTGAATGCGAACAGTCCACCAAGGAAATTCAGCAAAAGTTGTGTCAAAAATGTATTCACGGTGGTCCTTATATTGATCTATGTGCTCCTGACAACGGTAGCTGCATTTCTGGCCTATCAAACAATCACGGATTTCATGGAGAAAATGAATAACCCAGTGATGTCAGTTACATATAAAGAAGTGGAGATATTTTCACCTCCAGGTTTGTATATTTGTTTAATTATGCAAAGGATGTGCATCTGGTGCAATAGTACAAATAAAAACTTAAAAAATTGGCACAAATTATTTAAATGCTCATTATTGTCTGTCTAAATTTCCAAAGCTCAGAATGCTCTATTCTACCTCACGATGTTGTATAGTGTTAGTTTTAAAGTTAACAGCTCCTTTAGTTCAGTAGATATTGGGAATTTCAGGGCTGAAATTATCCAAATTATTCTAGTGAAGGTGCATGGATTTAAAATACTCCTTGTATAACCACATGACATCACAATTTAGAACAGCGTTTTCTGTTTGAGAGGAGAACAGCCTAAATCTGCATGGTTTGTGTGTTAAACATGTGTGAATGAAACAAAAGACAACTCTGGGTATGTTTTTGATGAGGAAAAAACAGTATAACAGAGACTGGAAAATAGTGTTTTATGGGCCCATTAATTGTACCTGCATTTGGCCAATACTTGAGTTGCACAGAAAACGCCCATATGAGCTGAGACTTTTTTGTTGTGAGCTGAGATTCTGGTACCATCCAATCACTGAAATGGCACTCTGACTACACTGGGGTCCCTTCTGTGTATCAATTCCAAGAAATAACTTTTGTACATGTATATTATTGTATGGCATTTTGTTTTGTGGGTATTTCTTTGTGTTCTAAACCAGGTATTGCATTGTTCCCTGGTAATGCTCGTCTGTTAAGCTGCAGACATTACTACCGCGAATACCTCCCTCCGTTAGTGAACCCGGGGCATCCACAAGAGGGTGACTGTGAGATGCAAGAAGTCTCATACAAGGGTCCTTTTCAAAATCAGACTACGGTGAGTTAGTTTGGTGACTGAGTAGTTGGCTTCAGTTATAAGGTTGTGGGTTCAACATTCTGAGCAGCAAACTTGTCATCCCTTGTCACCCAAAACAATGATCTGCATGTCTTAAAGGTGCACTGTGTACAAGAAATGTTATGCATCTTTAAGTTAATTAGTCACTCTAGATTGCAATTTATGGATGAATGTGTATAAAAGGTGACAGACTATTGTAATTTATTGTTATATTTATCAAACAAATTTTAATTGATCAAAATACAGATATTTCTGTCTTGTGTGTAACAGAAGACAGCGTTGGTGGTCCGTGGTCCGTCTGATGTCAGGAATAAGGAGGTGATCTTTATGCAGTTCAGTCAAAATGAAACACACGAAGACTTCAGCGCCATCTCCTACATGCTCTTTGCTAAATACAGTGACTTGATCAATAGGTATGAGGATACAAAGAGTTTGATCTATGGTAATGTTTTTATAATTGTCCAGTTAATGTTTCAACTGAACTTTCAGAAGAGAGTAAAGTCTGCAAAGAACCGGATGTATTGTGCTTAATCAATATATTGTTATACAGCTACTTTATTTGGTTATTTTGAACTACTTAAACTACTACTGCTACTACTTACTACTACCTACTACTACCTGCTACTATTACCTATTACTACTCTTACAACTACTACTACTACCCACTATTATCTATTACTACCTACTACTAATATTTTTTGCCACTCTCCGTAAGCTCCAAATTTCCATTGCTACTGCTTACAATTAAAGTTGACTTAGTTTAATATTCTGTAAGTTTATATGTTTCTTCTATATATGTGAATGTTCTGATAATCATCGTGCCCTGTAATATTAGTGCTAATCGTTCGGAGTTCATGAGGGACTGTGAGAGGAACTACTCCATGTGGACCTTTTCTGGAGGATTCAGGACCAGGGTCAAGATGTCGCTTGTTCGGACTTCTGGAAAAAACAATGATGGCACTGAATTTAGACAAGAGGTATTTATTTGTCATATACTGTATATTAAAGTTGTACTATGTTACTTTTCTGTTGTTGCTAGTCTCCATGGTGATTTTATTGCTTTGTCTGGAACCTTCAACGGTGTCCGATCCACGTTATTTATATAACACATTTTATAACATTTCGAAAGTGCTGCATTTAAACACATTTAAAACAAACAAACAAATGCTCTACCAGTGCTCATAAAAATAAAAATAAAACCCTAAAACAATAGAGGCTAAGAACAAGAAATAACATATAACCAGTTAAACAAAAAAATTATAATAATGAAAATAATTAATCGAATTATAAAAGACACAGTGTGGCGTTAAACTTATCATTTTTTCTTACATTCAGTATGGCTTTATTGCTAGTAAAATCTCTTCTTACTTGCATTCTTACTGTGATTGGAGTCTCCTGTCCACTAGCCTGTAACCTGCAACTAATCAACTGCTTGTTTCAGTGGAGTTGGATAAGTTTAAAGCTATACTGTGAATCATTTCAGGCAATGTGATAACACCTCTGTGGAGAAAAGAGGTGGTGGATCCTCAGTCAGAAATGTTATGTAGTGCAGCTTTACATAAATATATTTTTTAAATACTTTCAGCATTAATCATTGCCGATGTGTTTTAGTCTGCTGTGGTGAAGTTCAATGACAAACGGCCAGAACATGAAAGAACTGATGAACTTTTCTTTGCTGTTTTTGAATGGAGGGATCCTTATATACAAGAAATCAAACTGGTGAGTATTGTCTTATATTTGGTGTAAGATGTAAATACATTTTTGTTGTCCCATCATAGTGCATTTATATTACTGCAAATACACACATATTAATGAAATAAATTGTCTCTATGTAAAGAAATTGAACCAACTAACCCCCCAGGCATATTTGAGGCAAAATCCATTTCAAAGCTCTGTGACCACCTTTTACTCCATGTTCTACAAAGTTGTAAAAAATAGTTCACCATTCACATAAAAGTATAACTGTTGTAGTTGTGGCCCAGTTATGGCTCGTTAAATTGAACTGCTTTACTGTCACTCTTGCTAACTTACAAACTAGCGCAGACATTACATCTCTAACAGTAATCACAAGGAATGACTTTTTTTGTAAACAAGAAAAGTTTTTTGATAAGAAAAAATAAACCAACACAATATTTCTTTAATATTTTTTCTTCTAGATTGTGACTGCAAACCCCTGGAGCTCTCTGGCCATCCTCTGTGGAGTTTTCATGGCTCTGTTTAAAGCTGCTAATTTTGCCAAACTCTCAGTTCAATGGATCATCAGGATGAGGAAGAGGCATCTAAAGAACAAAGCACGAGAACTCAATCAAATCAACTAAAATCTACTGAAATAATGACTTTTATTTAACTCTTTTAGGTCACTCTTATTTTGTAAGTTTGACTTGTTTTATCTTTGTACCCAAAGTACTGCTAATTTTAGCTCTTAAGGTCAGTAATTTTTTGAAATATGTCAAAATACATTTCCAAAGTTGACCATTGGAAAGATTGAGTCTGGACTCTACTAATGTGAAACTAATCCTGATGAACTGTGTTACTTGCTAGATTTATCACAATGAAGTCAATGGAATATCTATTTTGTCTATTTATGTTCTCAAGGCAACAATAGCACAGCCACTGAACAATTCACTAAAAAGGGAAAATTACACTGTACTTCAACAAATGCAACTGAAATAAAGCTGTTTTCTAAAAAAAATGCTTATGTATTTGCAATAACCTATAAAAAAATACCTTTGGTGTGAAACAATAGTGCTTAATGAATGAAAGATGCTTTGTATAGTGGATCATGTATAGTTAGTAAAGTATATGGGATCACCAATTATTTCCTTGAGCAAGACACTCACATTTCAGACCCATTTTAAGCCCCTCACCAATGGAGGGCAGAATTTTGTTGGTTTCACCGGAAGTTAGATAGAAGAAGGGCGGGGTCAACGGAGGATGTTGTTGTTAGCCATAGGGTTGTTAGCTTTAGCGATGGAGAAGAAAAAGCCAAAATTGCAAAGTTGGATTTTATAAAGGTAATTTTCAAATAATTTACCTGTTGTCAGACAGTATTTGTGCATTAATTACAGTGCATGCTTTTATATGAACCATAATCATCGCGCTGTTTATGTTACGTCTATTTGCAAAAGTCGCTTGTTAGCATGCCACGCAAACATTTTATAAAATAAATATTTTGTTCTCCTACAAACTACTCTAAAAGCATATGCACTCAGACGCGTTGCTGTTTAGTCACATAATGTTATCTTAAATTGTAGTTTATGTTTCCATGTGTACTTGAGTAGTTAATTAGTTTTATTTATCAATCAAACGTTTCCAAAATGCACTCAAGTGTTTGCTGGGGGACTTGAACCTATTGTTATTGTTATCTGTGGATAGTTTGGTGTCACCGTACGATTATATTAACGTGTCGACCTTAAATAAACTTTAGCACCAAGGCGCGAAAGTTAAATCCCATCTGAATTGAGTTTTGCTGCAAAGTAGCACTGGTATGGGCATGTTCATTATCAGGATGTATAGATCGTTTTCTAATGGCGTGAGATTAAGACTGGTTTAACGTTTTGTGATTGTTTTATTGGTCAATCAAGTGGGTTTCTCTCTATAACGTTCACTAGATTTATAGTAACTCAGGTCATAGCACGACACTTCAAATACTACAAATTTTATTTTATTTATTTATTTATTTTTTTTCAGAAAATGAAAGTAACGCTCAGCCTACCGGTACCAGTACTTTGATTTGAACGTGTGAGCCCTGCAGTGCAGCTGTATAAATAACAGATTATTGTTGTGGGTGTTTATGGAAGTGGGGGTAAATGTGTGAAAAGGTTTCCAAGGGTGTTGCAAACAAGATATTAATGGAGAAAATAAAAATAATACCTGATATGTGAATTGGGTGCCTTCAAACAGTGGCAAATGTTTCAAATATAGTACTTTGCTGAGCTGATCCTGCCTTTGTTTATTACTTACATTTCAAGTTAAATTTTTTTCAGTACGTTTTCCAGCTGTACTGTACTCTAGCTGTTAGTTTTAGAACCAATAACAATGACCCAAATATATCTGAAAATGGCTTATTTGAAATTATTTGTTTAGATGAGCAACTACTACTCTTTTTAAGTGTTAAACAAGTCCAGGCAAAGCTGCAGTGTGGGACAGTATTTCTGGCCCCACCATCGGCTCTCCCTCAGCAGACAAAATTAGATCTGGCTGCACAAGTCTAACTGAGGAGAGTGTAAATGACCCCGAGAGAACTGTTGGACTGGTGCTACTTGCACAATAAGTGGTTTTTCAGTGTAAAGTAAAATTAATTCAAAACATACAGACATGTTAATACATGTCTTATGTACTTATGTTTTATATGTTGTTTTTCAGTAATGGGCTGCTGAGTTACATCTGTATTCAAAATGGCCAAGAACAGAAAGTGCATACTCTGTGAGACTGTCTATGTCTCCAGACAGGTAACCACTAACTTTAATAATGCAATTTGCATTACACCAACTAGATTTACACAATGGATGTAAAGTTGATGATATGCGATGTAATGTTAATGCAATGCAAGCTTTTGTAATTTAGCATTTTTTTATTGTTCCTATTTGGGGCATTTTAGGAAATGGAGGAACACATGAGAAGTATGCTGCACCACAGAGAGCTGGAAAAACTCAAAGGAAGGTATGTTCAATAGATTGTAAAAATAACATTTAAAAAAATTCATACAGATCCAAGACATTTACAACAAAATATGGCAAAATTTTGACCTTTAGAATGGCCTTTATCTATAGCAAACTTAGAACTTGTATTTTGTATTACATTTTATTCTCTAAACAAGAAGGTATTAATTAACGTCGTAGTATAATTTTGTAACCTAAAAAAATTAAAAGGTGAATATATTCTTTAATTCACCCTCTTCTGTCTAAACTTTATTATTCAAATAAAATTTTATTCTGAGCATAAAGCACGTGTGTCCAGGAGCACGTGCCCATTACAGTCTGTGGGCGAGTGGATCTATGGCAGCTGCCTCTTCTGTGGTTCTTATATTTAGACACAATATCATCAAACAACAGGCGTGAGCGATACCAGGCAACTGGACAGGATCTGGTGACTCCGGTGTAGATTAGACAAGTATGTAGGCTACAGCTGCAGGGGAGCAACCTCGAGGGTGAAAAGACACATACATGTGTTTAGGCTTGGGTTTACTATTGAAACATCATGAGAAAGTTTATGTGCAAACAAAATAAAGTATAGTATAACTGAATTAGCTATTGATTTTGAGGTTTAATATAGGGATTGGCCTTTTAAGATTACTGTACTTATGATGAGGCTTATATTTGTAGATAAAGTTAAAAAAAATAAACTCATGTTGTAGGATAAAACAAAATACAACCAAATACACCATCATGAATTTTATAACAAATAATCAGATTCCAAAAAGTTGATAGTTGCCTTGTTAACATTTTAGTAGATACATAGTAGTTTCCATGTGTGAACAGTTGTAACTTAAAAGTAGAAATTATGTTTAAAAACACAAGGTTGGGCAACTTAAAGTGTCATTGCTTTAGACTGTGAGAGCAGTCATTTTTACCACTTTAATCTTTGAAGGACTTCCCCTGGGCATGAGGAATGCTGGGTGAATATGTCACTGTCATTGTACAAAAACAGTAGTTATTGCACTCAGAGCAACAGCTGGTCAGATCAGCCTTGACCTTTGTTTTGGTTTGAAATAATTTGTTTGTGGAAAAGATCAAATGTGAAAAGAACCGTGGCACACAGCAACACTGTCAAATTACAATTATAAGGTCATAAAAGAAAATGGATAATGTTTGAAAAAACTTTTTATTGGTAAATTTTTTTTGAGTTGCTACAGGGGTTATGTTTAAAAAGTAGCTTGATGTATGCATAATTCTCTCCTGCTAAAAGTTCCATTGTAAATTACTTCACAGTCTCATTCAGTATATTGAATATGATGGTTAAGTTATAATTTACATTTTGTTTCCATAGCCCATTCCCCAAAATGAGGAACATGACTTTAAAGTCAGGTGACAGAAGCATCTAAAGTCAAAATATAACCTAATCCTATTGGAAAAGTGTCTGCCAACTGCACGAGACTTTGAAATGGCCAGTTGCCCTGACATAGATTGGTCCAGTGATCACGACAGGATGACATACTTGGGAGAGGTTTAGCAGCGAGAGCAGCTGTAAGAGGGGCTCTGGTTTCATATAGTCCTCTGCTGCGATTGGTCTAAAAACACATGGTGCATGGGAAAGGGGAGGGGGGGCTGTGTATTTGGGATAGGCTAAGGTCAAAAGCAATGATACCCCTATTGAAGCCTTCAGAGCGCAGCGGGACACCATCATGGCAGTGCAGTGAGCCGCTCCTCTGGGCTGCAGGCTGGATATGCTCAGCTACAGTAGCCCCATACTTTCACCCTGCCTTCTTCCACCAGCTAAAAACCTGGATATTTAAAGTCGATCAGGATGACTAAATTATAACGGTTTTATTTTTTTAAACAAGAAATTTAAGTTAGCTACCTCCTGATCGGTTAATAATAGAGAATTTGGACTTGAAGGATTGTCGAGTAATCTCCTTTCCTTGTTTTTGTTTTTAGTTAAAGTACAGCCACAGATTCTGCAGGCAGGAAAACAGTAGACTTAAAAAATGCCAGAAGGAACGATTGACCGACCGCTCTCGCCTTTGCTCCCCAGGGACTGCGGACATGAGTGCAGGGTCTGTAAGATTACCGTAGTGAGCCTAACAGACTATGCTAGCCACATCTCAAGCCCCACGCACAAACAAAATGTGGAGGATTTTGAACGCATCCCAGCTCGCAACACGTCCAATGAGGAGTACTTCGATAAGGCCCTGGTGGAGCTCATCGAGAAGAGAAACGAGCAGATAAGGTAAGAGAGTGATGCTGCTATAACAACCATTATATTGTAGTGAGTAAAAGTCTGTTTAAACTTGTCCTG